ATGATTTTGGTCGCTCATAACTCAATCTTCGTGATGTTTGAAGTCAATTAAATTTATTTTTCATTTAAAGTTGAAACTAAATTGCCATGAAGGCAAACTCTACTTGTTCATGAATTTAATCAATTTAACTTATCTTAGAGAACTCTTAAATGGGCATTACATGGTCATCTTTTTATGATCAACACTGTTTAATTAAAATTTCTCTCTAAAGAAAATATTGTTTTGTTAAATGCACTCTATCTCTCCAAGAGTCTAACGAGCTCTTCTATTAGTTTAAGTCATATATAATCCTTGAATCCATTTTTTGTCCTCTCATCCTCAAGCTTGATCCTTGCACTTCACGAAGAAAATTTATAATTTAGCACAAATCTCATTTTTTTTAATAATAAATGTTCCTATTCAAATTAATAATTATCCAAAACTCCAAATTTGTTGTACCCATAGTCAAATCAAGCGTCTCGACAAAAGAAATCTAACAAGCCCAAGATCGTTCAATTCTAAGGTTATTAAGACATTTAAATTATAAAAAAAAAAGTACATATAATCAATGGAGATCAATGAGAGCCCTCCGACCAGGTGTTTACGAGAGTTATTCGTCGGATGACTAAAATATCTCTCCCTTAGACCCCTCTCTTCACCTGAGGGGATAAGGAGTCAAATTCTAAAATTGTTAAGGACTAAAGTCTCGATAAAAACATCCAACCCTCCATTCTCACCGACCACTGTCAATCACTGTCTGTCGTTTGTCGTCGGCCACCGTCAGCCGTCTCATGCTGACAGTCGTTAGCAAACTCTACTTTGTAATAACGTAATCCTGAACACGGTGTAACGAAATATCCTAAATATAGAGTTACAAAGTTTTATTAATATAGAATAACGAAGTACCATAAATATGATGCATCTATGTATCCTAAATACAAAGTATCTTGAAAAAAAAGTAATGAAGTGCCTTGAATACGGTGTTACAGAGTATCCAAAATACATAATAACAAATAGTGATGTATTAAAAAACTGATAATAACTTACAACGACGAATACTTCCAATCTTCACGCTCAAAACACGGTGATTTCCATCATACTTCTGAATTGTTATGTATATTATGTACAAACAAGTGTCATACTTGGTATAGTGTTTAAACATTTCTTTCCTAATTGTGGGATAAGGGTGTATCTTTGTAATTACATATTTTTAGTGGAATATTTTGTTTCCACTTGGCCCTGTGATTTTTTCTTTTTATAGGATTTTTTTCATATAAGAAACTGGTGTCTTCCCATGTTGATTTCCTTTCATGTGTGTGTGTATTGGACTTTTGTGCTTACTAGGAACTTAAACTATTACTCTGCAATAGCAAATATTTTGACAAATAATAGTTTGGCACTATTTGGGAGAAATGAAGTCTCATTTAAAGATGTATACACTTCTTCGATGGCTAACAAGTGCAATGCACAAGTTACTTATTCTAATACCCATCATTTAAGAGGGCAGTCTTGAAATATGAGATGCCAAGTCTCTGCTTCATTTTTGAATAACACGCATCACCCTACTAATGAAAATGTCTCATTTTTGCCTCTCGAGGTTCACACGTGGAGAATGAAGGAATCCCACATTGAGATTTTGCAACTTTTGCATAAATCTCAAAAACTAATAGTACCACAAGAGGTGAGGTTCATCTACCCCAAGGTCAACCATGAAATTAGAGATCCCTATTTAGAGGATGCTCCATCGACAATCCCTCCATTTATGGAAGTTATTCCTCAACCGGGTTAGGAAGTTGATTTCTTAAATATTTTTAATTGCAAGCATCCAGCTCGTGCTCCAGACCAAAATACAATCCTCCAACACTCCTAGAGAACGTAGCTCAACCACATCATATAATTCACGATGAGCCACGATGTATGGTTCAAAAAGAATTCTTTTTAAAAGACAAAAAATGTTTTCTTACTGATACTTCTCAAGAGTCTTCGTCTTTGGCTGATATGGTCTTTCATTACTCCATTTCAGTAGGATTGAAGCTTCTAAGAATTGACTCTTGTAATGGGACATCTAATCACTAAAAACTTATTGATCATTGTAAAACTGGTAGGCACATAAACGAGTTGTTGATGCACTCATCTGTCATGTTTTTCATATTATACTTAAATTCAAGGGTGTATTTTGTTCTATTCACTCCCACAAGGAAATACTCGTAGTTTTGATGAACATGTCAGACTCTTTATGGAGCAATTTATACCATATCTAAAATTTATCAAAGACTCTTCTTATCTTTCTAGAATTCATTAAAATTAAATAGAGTCACTTAGATAATATTTCAAAGATTATCTATTGAGGCTCATCAAACTCTAGGAGTAGACCAAAGTTATTAAGGGAGTTTTTCCTGGGAGGGTTACATCATGAGCCCTTCCACTCATCATTAATACGATAGACAATTTGCTCATACACTAACCTCGTCAATCACATTGAAGCTCAAATTATCGTTGATGAAGCTATTCACATACATCAAAGACAATTTGAATAATCTTCTGGGAAATACAAGCACACTTTTTAATAAATTGCATAAAACTCCCATGGAAGAAAGCAAACAAAATCAACATATTAAAAATACTATCAAACTAAGACATGCAATAATACTCAATTGAACACATCTAGAAGTAATATGTTAATAGAGATTAAAAATTTTAAATATTTGAAGTGGTCAAAGCTACTAAAAAATCTAAATAATGAAGTGCAATCTCAATATTTTCTAATCTCAAAATTATCATTTTCACCAATAAATGAGGCAATCAATTAAAAGGAGAAATTGATCATTTTCAATATCAATGTCACTTGGTTCAATACTTACAAGAATGAGATAAGAAAGATCTGAAGAAAATTACTGGAATTATTAATTGAAGAGCACAACTCACTTGTGACAGTTATCATAATATGAAATTTTCTTGCTTTATTTCTTAAAAGAATCCTTTCGTTATTTTTATTATTGGCGTAAAAAGTTATTGTTCATTTAACTTTTTGTCAACAAATTTTTTTTATTATCAGTGAATTTTTATAAATTATATCATCTATTGAAACACACATAGAGGGCAAGTTGTAGACATAGTCTCCGCTTATAGCACAGGGAGATATGTCAATGAGTTAGTCTTGATGAAAAGTTAATAGTGGATATATTCTTCACTAGAAAGATATTTTGAGGGCAAGTGGTAGAAATAATTTTCACATATACCCCTAGAAGATATGTCCATGAGGTAGTCTCAATGGGAAGCTAAGTGATAGACACAATCTTCGCTTATACCCTTATAGACACATCTATCAAGTAGTCTCAATAGAAAGCTAGTAGTGGATATATTTCTAACTAAAAAAAATTCTCTAGGGCAAGTGATAGACACAGTTATTTCTTATACCACTGGAAGACACACCCATGAGATAATATTGATAAAAACTAGTAGTGAATACATTCCTAACTAGAAAGACCCCTTGAGGTTAAGGGGCAGACAAGATCTCTACTATTCTATTAAAAAACATGCCATGAGGAAGCTTTAATGTGAAGCTAGTAGTGGGGATAGGGCTCTCACTAGAAAAACTTCATGAGAGCAAGTGATTGATAGGATATTTACTTAAAAAATCTTAGAAGGTTATACATTTCAAAAAGGTTTTGCTTACAGGATTCACGGGGAAAACAAAAAAACTCCTAAATTATGGGGTTTCCTCGTGGAATACCAACAATCCTAACCTAGCTTCTCTAACATCCAAACCCAGGGACCCTAATGAAAGGAAGAACGAAAGTTTGAGGAGTTTCATTGCCGCAGTGGTTGATTGAAGTCTGACGTTTGTTCCAGAAGAATCTCTCCTAGTGGTAGGAGAGATGACAAAGTTCCAGAGAGGTTCGCTTTGATCTTTCTCCAAAGAACGGCGCTGCTCTCCTTTAGAAAGAGAGTTCAACTAGATTTCTAGTCGAGTTTCTTTTCCCAAGTTAGGATGAAGCTCTTCTTTGATGTGGGAGAGAAGAAACATTATTTCTTTGTTAGCTAAGCTCCTCATTAAGAAGATCTCCTCACCCACTCAAAGAATGGTGGAGGAAGAAGAAGAAGATATTTTGGTGAAGGATGGAGAAAGAGAGGAAGAAGAAGAAGAAAAAGGATGGGAGAAAGAAGCTCTCACTCTCACCTTTCTCTCAAGCTCTTCATCTCAAGGAAGCTATTAAGTTTTCTTTAGAAAGAAGAAGAAGAAGAAGGTAGGAGCTCCAAGCTTTCTCTCCAGGAAGAAGATGATCAACCCTCCTTCCAAAAATGTTGAATGTGGGTTCTTTAGAGCAGATAGGGAAGAAAAACCATCTCCTTCCAATTTCCCCTCCCTTTTTGCCTAAAGTGGCATTCCACCTTTTCTAAGAAGCTTCCAAAAGAGGCCAAAATGGGTTGCATCCATCAACTTTTCTTTCCCCTCGGCAAATCTCCACATAAACCAAAAAATCTGCTCTTTTCGGCCGCCTAGGAAGATGAGTCCGGTGAGATAATTAAAAAAAAATTGGAGTAGAAAAATGATTTGGTGCCTAGGCACGAGGCCTGACGTCTTAACACTAGGTCCCTAGCGCTGGGGTGTCAAGGCTTGGCACCAGGTTTCTATAGGCTTTATTTTGAGCTGTTTCAGAACAGCTTTTGGCGCCTAAGCGCCTGGAATTGCGTTGGGGCGCCAGTGACGCATGGGCATTGGGCTTCTAGCATTAGGTATTCATCGACTTGGTTTCGGGACCATTATTTGGTTATTTTGGGCACCTTGGCGTCGAGCCTATCGCCTAGGAGCGAATACTTGGTGTCAGGTGTCGGGTGTTGGGTGTCGGTCATTTTTTTTTTAAGAAAATGATTTTTGGATCTAATTTGATATATAAGTAATTTTGATTTTAAAAAATAATAGTTTTTAATATATATAAATAATATAATTAACAAACTCAATAATTTCTTAAATTTAAGTCATTATTCTCTGTCTCCTAATGTTAACCGTGAAAAAATATTGTGTGCGTAAATATATATCATCCCGCTCGCTGTGTGGATGCAATATACGGTGGTTAACCGTGCACACCGGCTGCGCACCATTTGTCCCGCCGCCACGCTACCATCAATGTCTGCAAAGTTCTCATCGCCGCCCATCACCTTCGCCATCTCTATCGCTGTCGAAAACCCTCTATCCGACCGCCGCATCGCCTTCACTACCCCTCCAGTTTATGCCAAGAGGCTAGCCGGCCTTCTCCATCTCCGCGCCTGCACACCGGTCCCCATCCCCACCGTCGCCGTTGAACCCACTCCGCGCACTATCGCATTCCTACGCCCATTTTTCTCAAACAAAGCCCTAGATCGCTTCTCTTCCCTCCTCTTCACTTCCCGTACAGGCATCACCGCCGTCTCCCTTACCCTCGCCGATGATTCAACGCCCTTAGCTGATTCGGGCGAACCCTTCATTGTTGCAGCCCTCGGTCGCGACGTTGATTTCCTGCACGAGATTGGACTAATTCACAAACTCTGCCGAAATCCTCATCGGATTCAGGTGCTGACTCCCGAGGTCGCTTCGCCATCGGGCCTCGTGGAGGCTATTGGGGAGGGGTTTGGCCGTAGGGCTCTTTGCCCGGTTCCTGATGTGATTGATTTGGAGGAGCCATCGGTTGTGCCGGAATTTTTGAAAGGGTTGGTGGCCGGCGGCTGGGCTCCGGTTAGGGTTTCTGCTTACGAAACAAGGTGGGCGGGATTAGGTTGCGTGGAGGATTTGGTGCGGGGTAAGCAAGGGGATTTGGATGCCATTGTGTTTACGAGCACGGCTGAGGTGGAGGGATTGGTGAAATCGTTGGAGGTGTTGGGGTGGAGGTGGAACGAGTTGAGGAAGAGGTGGCCGGAGATGGTGGTGGCGGCGCATGGGCCGGTAACTGCAAAGGGAGCGGAGAGGTTTGGGGTAGTTGTTGACGTGGTTAGCTCCAGTTTTAGTAGCTTTGATGGAGTTCTTGACGCTCTTGCGCTGAGGTGGGCGGGTTCAAGCTCAGGGGAATGATGTTTGATGATTGGGTGAGTTTACACTTTTGTATAACTAGAGTGTGTTTCGGAGAGCTTATTTGCAGCGGTGGCGTTCTGAAAATGCCACCGTCATTTTGGAAATCTTATTTATGTAGCTTTTTGTAAAACTCCGTTCCCATTTTACTATAAGTGGTACCCACGATCCGCGTTTCATATTGTGGAAAGATGACTAATGCCCCTCCTCGCTCCTCAGTCCTAATTTCGCAAGTGGCGAATCAAACTCATCTCCCTCTCCGATCCAGCACATCACAACACTCTGTCGCTTGATCCGCGTCTCCCTTCATCTTCGGCAATCGTTCTCACAGGTAACCCTTGTTTTTTTTTTCTCCTCGCTCCTCTGCCGCTCATTTGCTCCTCTGGTACTCTTTTTCATCTGCTGCCTTACACTGCATCTCCTCTGATCCTTTGTGTTTTATTATTATTATTATTTTTTGTTGTGGACGTTGGCTTTGGTTAACTCGTTTCAGTCTTCTGCACTATGCTAAGCTGCGCCTCTGCTCCTTTACGTTTATTATTATTATTTTTTGGCTGTGGAAGGATTTGGGTGAAACTGGATTTTGGAATGTGTCTGGAAATTTGATGTTTATTTATGGTATTGCATTCTCTTGATCTTGATCTTGTGGTTTATTTGATGATGCTAGCACCCTGTAAACAGTAAAATTGAGTTCTAAATGGCTCATTCTGTACATGTTTAGGAGATGTGTTGATATATTAGTTCTTATTTCTATTCGTCTCTTTTTACTAATGCTATTGCTTTGCTTTTCTTGATGGAACTGATAGATCTGGGTGAACAGTCTTATGATCGTTTCTGGAACATTTTGTATTTTTTTGTCTCCAATCCGCATCAGTGCTCGTTATTTTTAATAAGATTATGATCCCAACACAAGTTTTGCTGTAAGCAACACAATCATGCGTAGGACAACTTTCATATGTTTTTTTGTTGGATGCTTGCAGGATAATTTCTAAGAGCTCATTGTATATAGGAAAGTATAGTCAAAGCTACTTAAATATATTGATTGCTTTCATTATTTGAGAGTCAACATTTTCTTTCTATCATCTACATTATTGATAAGCTTATTTTCAAGTCATCTAAATTTTAGATAAGTTCTTTTTTGTAGTTAATTGATGAATGATTTAATTGATCATCTCTTCTATGAAATCACTTGATGAATTGACTAGTTGCTAGATTACAATTTAAATGAATTTTAAGCGAGCATGATTGAACTTTATGGTTGAATGATGGTAGATTTGTGAGATTTGCTTATTCTTCTGTTTATCTTTATATTTGTTATTTTTCCACTTGATGCTTTATTTTAATATCAATGCTATTGCACTATTTGATCCATATGTTTTATTAGTTGCATTATGAATAAAAATAAAGAAGGGGCTACATCAACAATGTGAGACAAGGATGTGACAAACATTTTCTGCAATCTCTGTATTAAGGAGATTGAACTTGGAAATAGACATTATCAATTCTTCATGCTGGGCGAGGTATTTTGAACTTCGCTTGAGGCTTTGCTTCTACAATCTCTCTGTAGTATATATTTGTCAATGGTGGTCTTTGCCTGTCACTTATATGGGTGGAGGGGTGGGCTCTTTGTCACTATAACAATTAGAGGCGGAACCATTAATTATTTTTGGGCGCACAAATTTATTATTTAAGAAAAAAATAATTTTATCAAAAATAAAAAGTTGCATATATATATATATATATATATATTTGTGTGTGCGCCTGCAACCGTGGCCTGTTGGAAGGCGGCTTTAGATATCACAGTTTTTTTTTAAAATACAAAAATATTTCGGGTAGTACGCAAACAATAATAACAGGACGACAATAGAATGAAGGTATTTTAACTCTTTAGATTATTTGCATACATATCGCTCAATTGCTATGTATTTACATATCTAACACCTAAATTTCAATTATTATATACATAACATCTTATGTTTGCATGAAAATATAAATTTCACTTCTGAAAGTTAAAATGGTGAATTTGGATGTGATATGAATGATTTGGATAGTCCACTTGTAATGATCAAACTTTAGGTGTTATATGTAAATACATAATAATTGAGTGGTATATATATGAAGGTCAACCTAAAATTTAATGAGAAGAGTGGTTTCGTGGCCTACACACATTTGGAATTTTTAAATTACCATCTTGTTTCACATCTCAAAACTATTCAGTGATATTACTATTTAAATTCAAAGAAGGTAGCAGTCATGGTTGGTCCTCCTAAGCAATTTATGAGCAATTTGCTTCCATAGAAATGGTTCTTTTATATGAATGAATAATTTTTGCAATAAAAAAAATTAATTTTTAATTTTATTTGCATTATTTGGATTTATTAAGGTTTTAAAAGATAGCATTTATATAACTTCATCAACTCAATTAATATAATGTTTGGCTTGATTCATTTGCAACCTTCGCTAGAGGAAATGGCCGCAAAGTGATAAAGTGAGGGGGCAAAAATCAAATTACCTCATTGTTATTAATAAAATTTCAGAATCTCCTTGCCCCACTAAACACTATGTAGGTCCCCCATTACTACAATAATAGGTTTGGCCATTATAGAAGTCATCACCGACACCTAATAGTTGTCTTTGAATTACTCAATTTAAGGAGTCTTTTGATGTCACCACCTCTTGGAACACTAAGATCCGTGCTAATGGCTCCTTGAATCATTCTTTTCCTCCATGTCTGCAAGTTGTTTGTGGGTAACAACATCCTAGATTTTCTTACTTACAGGTCTAATTTCTTCGTTTTGATTCTTGACATCGATCTACACTCATCACATCATCTGCTATGTCGTAGCCAATTTTGTCTGTGAGAATTAGAACACTACTTACCGGACTTATGAGATTTTTACAGAACAGAAAATAAATAAGATATCAGAGAAGGAGAAGAAGACATGGAGAGGAAGAGAGAAGCTCTAAGAATTTTATCACCAGGCACCAACACGAATTACTTAGTTTAAAAATAGTCTTTTGACCCCCTATTTTTAAATTTTGTGCTATATAAACTGCTGCATGTTGACTTCGCAGAGTAAACAAAAGGAAACACTTGATAATGTTACTTGTAGACATGTGGATTGTGGAGACTATGGAGCTGGGTGATTGGAAGGAGATGCCTATTTGAAAGATGATAGAAGCTTGTTGGTGGGTGATGCGAGAGAATACTTTTGTCAACTCGTGGATAGGGGGAAACTGAGCAAGTAATCATTCGATCTGGGCAAGTGATCTGGCCTTCAAGTCTTTCTGATATACGCTGCTTTTTTTATGTCGTTAGGAGTGACTGTCATATAACTAGTTCTTCATCAGTGATTTAAATTTGGAGGTATTGCTGGGAAATAGACAAAATTTATACAAAAATATTTAAAACAAGTAAAAAAGAAAAAGAAAATCACAAATTTGAAGACTGAAGAACGGCTTGACAGGATGATATGACCGATCGTACGTAGTTGTTGACGGCTGTTTGAGATGAAAATTGGCTAAAATGCCACTAGTTCGAGCGATTGGAAGAACGTGCTAGAGTATATTTCACAGGGCGGTTATCAGCTCTCAGGCTGATCGACAAGAATCACCCTTCTGGATCAAAGGCCGACGGAGTCAAGGTTTAGTAGACAGACGACAAACTTCCAACCGGTCGAATCAGTTCTCTGGAAAGTCAATGTGAGGGGAGTGATTTGTAATATTGTAAAACTGAGACCTATTCATATAAATAGGGAGTTCATGTCCTGAATAGCAGTTACAGTCTCTTTTACCATTCTCTATTGTGCTCTCTCCCTTTTTCTCATCCTTTTCTGTAGAACATTCTTTGACTTGGTTGTGTTTCAAGGACATTTTTAAATTCAACATTATCATAATTTAATTGTGAAGAAATTATAATCAATTTTTTTTCTTATATAGATAATGCTCTCTTTATTAAAAGAAAAATTGGACAATAAAAAATATAAGGAATTTCTTAAATGCCTTCATATAATAATTATAAATAGAAATATTTACATACATAACCCTCCATTCTTATGTATATAAATCTAACCCTTAAAATTTAAATTTTTACATACATGTCATTGGCCTATTCATAAAAAAAATATGTCGCTCTTAAGAGTAGTAGTGATAATTCTTTTGTGCTATGAACATTTTTAGGTGATATAAATATAAAATTACCGTTTGGGTGTTAGATATACAAATAAGTACAAAATCTGATGGTATTTTTATTTTGAAGTCAAATATTACAAAAAAAGATAAAATAAAGTACTTAATAGGATTGGCATCTGCCCTCAGTTTTAAAATGCTTGACGTAAGCAAGACGTAAGCCAGCAGTCATAAAAAAAGCTACTCTGCTCCAAAACGACAATATTTTCCATATTCATCACTCCTCCTTCCCCTGAATATGTCCGCTCTATTATGAGAAAAAAATATTACATCAGTACTACGCACGTAGAGTAACGTGCGTATCTAATAAAATCATGCCACGATACCCGCACGACGCAAAAAAAAAACGGCGCAGTGACACGGAGAATATTCTCCCCCGTGTTATTCATGTGTTATTGTGTGTTATTCATGTGTTATTCATGTGTTATTGTGTTATTATAACACCAGAAATATTCTCAGGATACAATAACACATGAATAACACACAATAACACTTGAATAACACGGGAAATATTCCCGACAGAGAAAAAAACGACGCAGTAACACGGAGGAATATTTTCTCCCGTGTTATTCTTTTGTTATTGTGTGTTATTCCTGTGTTATTCCTGTGTTATTGACGTGTTATTCTCGTGTTTCTCTTCTGGTTTACATCATGAGTTAAGACAATGATATTCCCGTGTTATTTTCGTGTTATTCTTGTCTTACTCAAGTGTTATTATCTGTGTTATTCACGTGTTATTAACGTATTATTACTGTGTTATTCACGTGATAGGAAATATTCTCCGTATTACTGCGCCGTTTTTCTTAATCCGCCGCGCAAAATATCGTGACGTGTTTTGATTGACTACGCACTTAAAAAGAAAGTGCCTTATAATATTTCTTGAACTATCTCGCCAAAACAGAGCAACCCAAGAAATCGTTCATGTTGGCGACTACGATTTCGCTGCCGGTGATCGACCTCACCGACTTCCCGTCTGAGCTGAACAAACTGGCGGCGGCAAGCACCACGCTGGGCTGCTTCCGGGTCGTCAACCATGGCATACCGGCGGCGATTCTAGCCGAAATGAAGGCCGTCGTTCGATCCCTCTTCGACATTTCGGCCGATGCTAAGCTTCTTAACGCTGATGTAATCCCCGGCAGCGGATACATGTCTCCCTCTCCGAAGAACCCTTTCTATGAATCGTTCGGTCTCTACGATGCAGCCTCCTCTTCTGATGTCCACGCTTTCTGCTCCCTCTTGGAGGCTTCGCCTTTTCATCGGTGAGCTTCGCTTTTCTCTTTTACACTTTGCTTCTAAAATCACGTTTTTCACTAATCTGTTTCTTCCTCTGTGTGAAAACTGTCTTTTTTTTTTTGTTTCTGATTTGGTTCGTGATTTGTATTTCTGTTGCGTAAAATTATTTGAAGAAATGTTTGTTTTGTGAATTTGTACGGTGTTGGATTTATTGTTTTATGTCGTTATCGTACAACTGCGAGTAACATTTGGTGATGTTGATGTTCATATGGGAGTTTAGAATCGTCCCACGTTGTGTTATAAAACAAACGTTTTGAAGTTTTTTTTTAGCTGATGTTTCGCCATCCACTATCTACATTTGGCTGCACTTGTAGGTATGAAGCTGATGGTTTGAGTGTTGGTCGGGGCTGATTCCTAAAAAAGAAAATTGTAGAAGTGGAACTTGTTAAGATATACATGAGAGTGAGTATGTTGAAAATACTTTTGTATTGAAAGTAAAATGGTTGTTAACTTCTTAATATATTAATAGTATTCTGTACACATTGGTTAAGTTTTTTAGTTTTTTAGTTAATGTATTTGGTTTTGCGGCTTCTTTGTGTCTTGGCTTCTTCTGCCATGGTCAAGGTACAAGGTTGCATAATTACATGCAGTATCCAGGTTGTTGAAGTGTACTCTTGATGACATTGAAGAACTTTTGTTTGAGAGATGGTGAGAGTTCTTGCTGAGAGTCTCATGAACTTGGAAATTGCCCCACATTCAATATGAAAAAAAAAAGAGTGGGTTTTTTAAATACTAGTCGTGAACTATCATTAGCTTAAGTTTATGAGTTGTTGGGTGTCAATTTTTAGGTAAATTGGGTGCCATAAGTTCCCTAGTGTTCACCCCTCCAAAAGTTAATTCATTTTGCTCCTTTTTATGGCCAGCTTAGGTCATTTTATTGCCTCTCCATGTTCAATTAGCAATTTAGCTGTGCTTTACTTTGGTTTAGTAGACTCTGATTATAGTCCTTCAGAAAAGGCACGAATAGTTCTTTTCTAGTTATTGTGAATTTGATTAGTTCATAGTTCAGACTGTTTCTACTAATACAGTTTGTTCTTATTAATTCGAGTTTAGTTTTCTAACATCTCATTATTTTAGAGGTACATGTTTTTTGATCGCTTCAACTTTTTTATTGTGGAATCTCTCTATTTTTGACGGACATTGCAGAGAAACAATAAGTTCATATGCTTTAAAACTCCATGCCTTGATTGTGGAAATAGCATCTAAAGTGGCAGAGAGTTTGGGTTTGGCGGGCTACTCGTTTCAGGACTGGCCTTGTCAGTTAAGGCTAAACAAGTATAACTTCACCAATGAAACAGTTGGCTTTCCTGGTGTTCAGATCCACACAGACTCTGGCTTCCTCACTGTTCTCCAAGAAGATGAGTCTGTTGGTGGGCTTGAGATCATGGATCGTACCGGAAATTTTGTGGCTGTTGATCCTGAACCTGGTACTTTTCTTGTTAATCTTGGTGATATTGGGAAGGTAAACTTGTCATTTATACTTTATTTTCATAAATTATTAGAAAAACTATATGGCCAATAAACCGTCAAACAAAACGGGATCCTTGGGCTGGATTTGATCTCAAGATAGGGAAGGAGTAGCAGAAAACTGAAAATATTGTTTTTCTTCTTACTATTGTTCGTAGGAGCATATGCCATTTGCTCTTTGAAGTAGATAATCCGTGTAAATTTCAGTAGTTTTTGTAGAGAGAATGCTTTGCAAATCAGTGCTTATTTTATGATGATTCTCTTAGTCACCAACGATAAATGGTTTAGCGGAGCATCGCTTATGTTGTTTTATTGTAAAATTCAACAAACATAAGCATTAGTATTTCCTGGAAAAAAATGATAGATTTGAACTTAACTGCATGATTATGTTGATATGTTTTCATTATTAGTGAGTGAACCAAATGAGGGATCAAACTTAGCCCATATACTTTGATGGTTAAACTTTATTTTTTAACACAATAATTTAAGCCTATGGGTTGTGAAATTATTACATGTGAAGTACCTACATAGCTCAATGTGCAAACTATACGAGTACATAAAGAGTTTGTATATATTTGTTGAATTCAGATCTGTCCGGTATAGAGAGAGAGAGGAAGACTTCCCCCTACGGGGGAAAAATGGGGTGTTCCCGAGCTCTCCGACATATTTTATTCTGTTGAAAATCAAGGTTACAAACGGTGGGAACCCAAAGATCCTTCCTATTTATAGAAGATAGAGGGGAGGGGGGGGGGGGGAAAAAAGTATATAAAATTAATTACATATTCAGCCTCACCTTAAAGAAAAGAGCAAAGGGTATTCTAATTACTTGATCCTGGACGGTCAGATTGCCTTGAGATTAGTGCAGATCATTTTTGAGTATACATATTAAGTTCCCTAATTTTCTTACTACTAGATAACGACAATTTCAATAATGATAAGAAAATTTATAAATCAAATAAATCTTGAACATAATATGTTAATGATACTCCATGTTAGGTGTTTTTCGTGCTTGATTTTGGTATCTTTGTCGTAATTTGCCGAGTTTATCATTCTGGAGTTTTTCCTGTCAGGGGGAAGTTGTCTGTTTCGGGCGGTCGGAGGAAAAGTCAGTCGTTTGAGGAAAGTCGGCCGTCAGAGGAAAAATTCTTAGAGTTGCTCGCCCCGGAGGGGAGCCTTGGAGATTCTCGCCATGAAAGGGAATTTTAGAGTTGCTCCTCTTAGAGGGGAGTCTTAGATATGCTTGCCCGGAAGGGAGCCTTAGAGTTGCTCTCCCCGGAGGGGAATCTTAGGGATGCTTGCCCAAGAGGAGAGTCTTGGAGTTGCTCGTCCCGAAGGAGAGTCTTAGAGTTCTGAACCCCTCGCGAAGTTTGTCGTTGTCGGGTATTTCTTAATCGATTGGACGCTCTGTGTCGTTGTCGGTTGTTTTTTGTGCTTTTGACCGATCATACACTCTTGATGTCATTGTCAGTTGTTTCTCGTGCTTCTGGCCAATTGATGCTCTTGGCGTCGTTGTCTGTTTTACTACTCCAGTTTGAGTTCCCCACGTGTCAAGTGGTCATCGGCATGCATGAACTCTTAAATTTCACCAAGTCTTGACCCTGAACTTTTCACATATTATTTGTATCAAGAAGTAAGATTTGAGGAAAATAACATATATGCACCGGAAAAAATAACCATATATGTAGGGCTAAAGGCATCTATGAATATAGTTTTAAGTTTTTTAGAGAAAAATTTCATTTGACAATTTCATGCAAATTTAGTTGCAAAACCAAAGGATGCTATCCATATGAATATGCAAGGATTGAATGGTATTTAAATCTAGTTTGCTGGGAAAACGGATGGTGTAATAAAAATATAAATATACAAGAATTGGGTGATATGTATGAAAAAATATAAGGAAAAGAGTTGACGGTTAGTTATGTATATAATTTTTTCCTTCCTCCATGGTTCCGTGCGGTTGGAATGGAGTGGTTGGCCGGAGTGAGGTGGTCGATCGGTCGTTTGATGTGACGAGATGGCAAGAAGTTGCTGCAAATATAAAAATATAAGAATTGGGGGTTATGTATGTAAATCTTCCCTGTTTTATATTAACTTTTGCTTGGCTGTTGGGACAAATAAAGCCGTAAATTTGATAGCTCTGGATTTCAGTCTTCCTCCACTATGCTCGCACCAAAATCGCCGGAGGTAGTCTGACGACATTCATCATTAAGTCCAAAGAGGTCTTTAGCTGATACGGTTGCAACACTTCCGACTTTCCTCTCCTCGTCTGTTGTGGCGGCCAGAGTAGCATCCTCCTTCCGCTTCCCGATCAGCTGCACTAGATTCCGACGTATCTCTTTGTCTAGCTTCCACGAGCTCGTATTCTTCTTCTTTGGCAAAAATCTGCATTCGGGGGTAAGAACCATGTTGCGGGCTTCGGAGATAAAAGCCATTTGTGTTGCTTAGAGGCGAAAAATCGCACCGCCATCCTCGAAGCTCTGATCAAAAGCTCTGCTGGTGATGGTTGTTGCAGAGGATGTTCTCGGTGTTATAATCTGATCGACGAAGGCGGTGGGAATTTGAGATTTCTTCCTCTTGTCGCGTTCTTTCCGCAATTCATCTGCGAACCGTTAGAGCTTTTCTGCATAGGTTTCTCGTGAAAGTCACTTACCCTGAAAGAGAACAGATTCTACATTTCTGTGGCTTAATATTGCCTCTGCTGTTTCCATGATCTTCGTTGCATCTCGATTTGTGCCATTTGTGGTTTTTAAGCCCAGACCATGAAGCTGAAGACAGACATAGTTTGAGTTGTCTTTACTGTTTTGAGAGAAGGCCATCGCCACCACTTGATGGACAATATCAACCATCCTACTCCCGAAAATCCGTAAAATCCCAACGGTTGAGTGCGATGATCGGACGGTGAGTTCAGATTCTAAGCCGACGATCGATGTGTGTTATATATGAATAAAATAGGATAGAAGAACCATCTTTGATGAAACGAAAAACAGAACGAGAAAATTCACACCAGAAAACAGCAACACAGCGAAACACATTGATTTACGTGGTTCGACAAATTGTCTACGTCCACAGAGTTACAGAGAATTTTATTAATTGAGGAATTTATACCAGTCGATCACGACAATTACAGGAGAAAATCTCTCACTTTCTCACTCTCTTCTTCTCTCTCTACACCGAGCTACCGAAGAAACTCTACACCGAGAAACACTGAAGAAGATAAAATTACAAGAGAAATAAACTCAATTTCTCTTCTGTCATAAGCCACCAAGAAGAAAACAGGGGAGAATAAACTTCTTCTTTCTTCTTTCTTATGCCAGAAGGAACTACTATTTGCACTTCTCTTCTTCTATTTCAAGGAAGCCTGAAGAAGAACACAAAAAATCGTGACTTAGAAACTGCACGAGTCGTGCGATGCCTTTTATCGCGAACAGGAAGGGAGACGTCGCGACTATTCGCGACAGAGGAGCAGTTTGCGAACGGGAGCGGGAGCTTGCGCTACAGAGCGGGAGACTCTTCGCCAAGCTGAGGGAGGCGTGACGATCGGGTGATGCGAGGGCTTCACTTCGCGATACAAGGGCCGGGGGCAGGAGCGGTTCGAGGGTTTAATCGGGCTACAATTAACAATCTCCCACTTGGAGACCGATACACAAGTTACAACATCTCATTTCTTGAACCGATATCCTTTACTGGCGGCGTCGATTTTATATTCAAATATGAATTCTCCACCTCTGCAACTCAAAGCCTTTGTCTTCACACCAGAAGATCAATTGAAGCTGTACACAACTTCAGTTTCTCAAGAATAATACACTTAGTCAACATATCAGCAGGGTCAACATAGCTTTGCACTTCTAAGCTATTTTCTGGATTACTCTTGTCTCTGCTTACAACTTACACTGCATTGGCAATATCTTGCCTCTGCTGAAAGCCTCTTCCAACAAGTCTAGCATTGTACCTCTTACTGACATCAAACTTAGTCTTTACCTGATACACTCATTTTTTGTGTAATGTCTTCTTCTCTGGTGGAAGTTCTGTCAGCTCCCACTTGCTCGAACTTTCATCTTGCAAGATTTTCTCATAGCTCTGTTGTTCTCCACCATTTGTCTGTGAAACAATAGGGATGGGTGCCCCGGACCCACTCTCCTCTTCACTTCCATCATCAACGGAACCATGAACTGTCAACAATAGTGCATCTTATACTTATTCAGATACCACATTTGTGCTATTATTTACCATATTTTTGAGGTTCCTGCAGTTCCTCTTTATGTGACCAATCTTGTCACAATTTCAGCAGGTTGTCTGCTGACCAGACTTTGATTTTGATCTTCCTCTATTTGAGTTCTTGTTATGTCATCTCCCTATGTCATCTCCCTCTGAAATCACCTCTGAAATCAACCTTCAGTGTCGAACTTGAACCTGAGATCTCGTCAGAATCTTTCCTGCGCACCTCTTCAACCAAAATCAAATTCAACCAAAATCAAATCACGAATCAAATCACGAATATCATTACATTTCAGTTTAAATTTACTTGCCTAACTGCCAACTGCCATTCTCATGGCTTCCCAACTACTTGGCAACGATGTCAGCAATATCAGCGCACGTATCTCATCATCAAAATTAATTTCAACAGACGATAATTGATTTGTGATAGTATTGAAACCATTCAGATATTGAACAACAGAAACAACTTCCGTCATCTTCAAATTGAATAACTTTTTCATCAAGTACGTCTTTTTATTCACCGATAGCTTTTCATACATACCTGCATCCTTTCTTTGACAACATTGTGTGCAACGGACATCGATAGGGTCAATCGAATAACCCCCAGAACTTGTCGATCCAACAAATTTCATTCAGCACCATCCATCCTTTTAGATCTTTTCTCCAATAACGGAAAATAAAGTTTATTCCCATAAAGGTAATACTCTATCTGCATCATCTAATAACCAAAATCTGTGTCATCAAACTTCTCGATCTCTGCAACCTTCACTTAATCTGCAGTCATCATTCTTCTTCAGATCCAAACAAAGTTCTGATATCAGTTGTTGTGTTATATATGAATAAAATAAGATAGAAGAACGATCTTTAATGAAGCTAAAAATAGAACGAGAAAAATCACACTAGAAAACAGTAACACAGCGAAACACACAGATTTACATGGTTCGACAAATTGTCTATCTCCACAGAGTTGCGGAGCATTTTACTACTTGAATAATTTATAACAGTCAATTACAACGACAATTATAGGAGAAAATCTCTCACTTTCCCACTCTCTTCTTCTCTCTCTGTTTTTCTCTCTCTGTTTTTCTCTCCCTACACCGAGATACACCGAATAAACTCTACATTGAGATACACCGAAAAAGATAAACTTACAAGAGAAATAAACTCAATTTTTCTTCAGTCATAAACCACCAAGAAGTAGTCAAGAGAGAACAATCTTCTTCTTCTTTCTTCTTCTTTCTATCGCAAGGAACTACTGCTTGCACTTATCTTCCCAAGGAAGCCTGAAGAAGAACACAAAAAATCGTAACTTAGAAATTGTAGGAGCCGTTCAATGCCTTTTATCCCGAACAGGAAAGGAGAAGCCGCGACCATTCGCAACAAAGGAACGGTTTGTGAACGGGAGCTTGCGCGACAGAGCGAGAGACGCCACTCTTCGCCAAGCTGAGGGAGGCGCGACGATCGGGCGAAAATAAGGGGCAAGGGCGAGAGCGGTTAATCGGGCTTTAGTTAACAATCGACAGTACGTGGAGATCCTCGGTACGAGCGGAGAAGGGGAATTCCGACTTGTTGTGAAACACATGCGTGATGGCTGTCACTGTGGGGTTTGCCATTGTAACCCCACCGTCGATGGCAGCGATTCTCATCCGGCCGTCGATGGACTCCACCTCCATAGCCTTCATGACGACGCAAGTAGCAGCACAGAGCTATCTGATTCGAAAATCGTACGCATCAATTTCCACGATGTCCGCTCTCGAGAAGAGGAACGGGGCTTCAATGGAGAAGTCGAAGCGGGGGACAACTAATGGCTTCACTGTGTTCCGCGGTGCTGCTTCCCCAAATATTCTTCGAAATGCTTCGTCCATCAACTTTTGGAGCATCACACGAAAAGCCCGTTCCGCATGTTAGGGCTTCCTCCATAGGGACAAGACGACGATCGTCAACTCCAAAAGTGATGAGCATGGTGAAAATGACACTTCTAGTCCCTTGCCGGACGAGATGGCGGGTGAGACGGGAGCGTCGTTGGGGTTTCAATAGAGGATTCGTTGAGGAAGGGATCATCCTAGCCAAAGAGAAACTTAGACTTCAGTGTTCTAAGGATCTCGTAGCTGAGCGACGTTGAAGCATAGATCACTAATCGCCGACGTCGAAGCCATTTCTTCCGACAAAGAATGAATAAGAACGAGGAGAGAGTACGAATAGAGTGAGGTGAGCTTGTGAAATGTCATCGGTCGAACGGCAGGTGGTGCTTGGTGCCTTGAATCTTGCACCCGATAGCGGGAAAAACAAGCTGACGGGCTTCTTGTGAGAGGTCGGCCGGTGAGATGGTCGGTAATTGATTGAAAAAATGGTCGTCTGGTAGAGATGACCATCGCGAATAAAGGTTGTCCAGTAGACCATCACAAAAAACGATCAGCTGACAAAGATTAGGTGTTGGGATTATAATTTGTTACCGTGCAAGTTCCCCTTGCGTTTTCTTGATATGAGGGTCCCTTTGAATAGTCTTTGCTTGGCGTTGCTCGTTTTCTTGTTAATGACACGCTCAACGCTCACCGCACTTCTTAGGATGTTGAATCCAGATTTATCCAGTTGACTGTATCTAATAAATAAAGTGTGGAATCGAGGGAAGAAGAAATTGGGAGGGAGGGGGGAGAGAGAGAGAGAGAGAGAGAGAGAGAGAGAGGGGGGGGAGACCTCCGGTGGGGGAAAATGGGGTGCCCCGGGCTCTTCGACTCATTTTATTGTTAAATTTTTAGTTATGGCCCACGTTGCCCTCAAACCCACTAACGTGGGTCATTTTAATAATAAATGATAATTAATTAATTAAATTATCTTAAAACTTTTTGATAAGTAATCCTTTAATCGATTGTAGTTACTAATGTGTGTTATTTATTTTAATTAATTAATTAAATTATCTTAAATTTTTTTTGATATGTAACCCTTTATGGATAGTGATTACTAATATGTGTTATTTATTTTAATTTATTAAGTAAATTATCTTAAACCTTTTTTTATAAGTAACCCCTTATAGATGGTAGTTAATAGCATTTCTTTTAGTTTAATAATAAATGTCAATTAATAATCAAAATTATCATAAATCTTATTGGTTAGTAATCTCATGATGGATGATGATTAAATAACGCATAATTCGGAAAAGAGTTCTCTCTCTTCCTAACAAACACAGTATATTTCTCTCAATTAGAAAGTATAGAAAATTTCAGGGGATTAAAGAGAGAAACTACATCTCCTCAGATTTAATTCTACAATCATGAATACACGTATGTTTTTCTCTTATTAATGAATATGTAAAAATCACGAATTCGAAGATCTTGATCTTATATGCATAAAGCGTTGGGGTCATAAAGTTGGATAAAAAATGAAAAGTTCTAACATTTATTCCATTGAAAACCAAAGTTAGAAGTGGTGGAAGCTCAAAGGTCCCTTTTACATTATGAAGCTCTCCTATTTATAGAAGATAGGAGGGATAAAAAAAGTATATAAAATTACATATTTAGCTTTACCTTAAACAAAAGAGCAAAGGGTATTCTAGTCCATTTATCTTGGACTGTCATATTGCATTGAGTTCCGTGCAAACCATTTTTAAGTATACAATATTTTATATATAATATTTTTCTTATGAGTGAGAGTCATCCATTTGTATATCTATGCCAACCTTTTTTTTTTCAACCATTCTACATGAGATTAGATCTACATTTCATAGTTTGCTATATGTAGGTGTGGAGCAATGGAAGACTTCATAATGTAAAGCATAGGGTGGAATGCAAGGAAGCACGACCGCGGGTCTCTATTGCGCTGTTCATGCTCGCACCAAAAGACGACAGGGTCGAGCCTCAACAAGAACTCATCGATTCCGACCACCCACGACTCTATCAGACCTTCTCCTTCGAGGAGTATCGAAAACTCAGGCTCAACACCGAGGCAAGAGCTGGTGAAGCTCTCTCCCTTCTTGCCTTTGATCAAAGGACTGTTAGGGGTTGATAAAGTACTTATATATGTATATATTCTGGATGATGAGTGTAAAGAGAGCTCATCTACTCTCAGGTATTATATCTAAATTGTTGTTGGCTACTTATGTGTTTGGAACCAAATATTATGTTGTATTTCTTTGTTATTTCTACCTTTATTTGCCATTCAAAGAGTGAATTGTTTGGGTAAGATTTTGTAGAGTATTGAGTTAGAAAATATGAATGTCCAGATTGGAATTTAGCAAATAAAAAAATGTCTAAAAGAAAAATATAAATAATTATTTATGCAATTTATTCTCCTTGTAGGTTTAATATTATTATTAGTCAATATATTATTATCTAATTTTAATATTGTCTTTCTGTAAGCTATAATTTGTAGAATACCTGGTAGCTTGTGTAATAATTAATTTATGTTCATCTTTCTATCTAGTACTTCACAAAAAATTGTTAAGGAAAATTTTATGTGAAAGGTTAAAGGATCCTCTAAAGCCTCATCACAACTCTTGAAAGTTTTAGAGCTAAGTTCTTTTGCTAGAGATTTTTTATGAGACAGTCTAGCAATGTGAATCTTCAACTAAGTAATTGTAGTAAAAGGATATTTTCTTCTTATAAGAATAGTTTAACGTGCTTCTTTGCATTTGAAATATACCCTCATATTGTTCATAGGGATAAGGCCCAACATAATACAATTATATACTTGTTGACAAAAGTCTTTATCAACATCAACTTAAGCATTATGAAAATTTATTCAATATTTGAAAAGTTGAGTGAAAAAAATAATCTCTTAAAACCCCATTGTTGCCACATAGATATATTAAAGTATCTCAGGAAGAATTTTTTGGTAAATTTATTGAAGCAAAAACTCATAAAGGAGAATTATGTCCTCCTAAAATCCAAGAGAAATTGTTGGAAAATAAAGGATTGATTAATAGGTTTAAGATTAGACAATGCAAAATAAAAGAGAATTCCAATAAATAAAAGGTTTATTAGAGGAACTAAAGGAGTTTCAATACAATTAATGACCAATGAAGTCAAAGTATAAATGCATTGAATATTGATCTATTTTATCTTATACTATTGAATACTCCTATGATAAGGGTAAAGAAGGATTTTTGGAACATGAGAATTTTACTTCAAAATCTAATAGAATTACTGGTCAACAAAACACTACAACATTAACATTGCTAAGTCATCGCCATTACATAATTTTTTTGATAGAAATACATATCTTACATGACACAAAATACTCCCACCACTATGAAAGTCGAAAATGAGTTAGAGAGAATAACTAATCATATCAATTTTTTATTTATGGGAAAGACTGAAGAAAATATTAAAAATAAAAAGTTATGGATTCTTCATATGGTAGAGAGAGAGAGAGAGAGAGAGAGAGAGAGAAATAATATCGTTTAGGGAACATCTCAGACAATTGTCAGTAGAGCTTGTGTCTAGTCAATCAAGTTCTTTTAACTTCCTCCTGGCTTGAAAGATTAATAGATGGGTATGGTAATTCTAGGAGTGAATTCAGAATAGAAGAATTAATTGATGTAGAACCAGATATAGAGGTTTTCTCTAATGATCAATTAAATGGTCTTAATCCTATTGATTATTTAGTAGTTCCACAAGATTATTTAGACATCATAGAGAAGTACCTTTGCATTTTCCAGTTAATGCTGAAATAGTTATGAATTAAAAAGAGAGAAGAGTTCATACATACATACATCTTTGACTTGTTTTATTTGGAATAAGGAGACTGGTTTAGAAAAAGAAAAGGAGATAAAATGTTTCTTATTTTATATGATTTCACATTTAGTATCCCAAATTAATTTATGACAAGTACCATAGAAAAAGATATGAATAATAAAATAGGGATGGCCTATATAGTCTTGACATAATCATCATGATATCTGATTTTGAAAAAAATGGTAAGATTATGGTTCATGCTAAGGGTTATGAAAATTTTAAAGGGGAAAATCTGTGTCTTAACAATTAATTTTCTTAAGAGAAACCATGTCCAACATAAAAAGAAGGTTCAAAATCAATATGGAAAAATAACTTATTCCTTGGCCTCAAAAGAAATAAAATTTATACTTCCTAAAGGAGTAAATTCTGAAACTTTAGTAGCATTAGAATGAATAATATCACCTTTAAGAGAATAATCTCATATCATTACTCCTACTGAATATATAATATTCCAGAATCCTGATATGAGTATCTATAAGATTTAGGAATTTTAAATCTACAAATGAAGCTAAAGACGAAACTAATATGGAATTGATGAATATTGAAGAAATCTGTGAACAAATTGAAGAAAATCCTATTATGCTTCCTTCTAAATTATATTTACCTGTTGATTAAAAATCTATATATGAATTGTAGTATCATTGTAAAAGGATAGGCTAATTAAAAGAAAAAGATACATTTTATGATGATGATAAAAGAAATATAAGCTTGATTCGAGAACAGCAAAATCAAAATTTAATGTATAGATTTTTATGAATTGTAATATCATTGTAAAAGGATAGGCTAATTAAAAGAAAAAGATACATTATATGATGATGATAAAAGAACTATAAGCTTGATTCGAGAACAACAAAATCAAAATTTAATGGATAGATTTTTAAGAGATTCTATTTCAAGTATAGAAAAAAATTTTATAGGACAAGATGAAGCTAGCTCCTCGGACATCCCAAATGCACAACCCATACAACAATATTAGCCAAATAATAACCTCATTCCTATGGAATACAATATGGGCCATCCCCCTAGAAAACTTGTTGATATTTATGATAGGAGAAACCAGTTGTTAATAACTTCATGAAAAAGAGGTCCAAATGAAAAATCTTCTTTTTCAAAGAATGAATTCTTGTTGAATATCAAGACATGTGATCCTCAGATATAGGATAATTATTTATAATAATGGACTACATAAATGACTAGAGATTATCGACAGAAACAACAAGATAATGTAGAAAGTGGGAAAAAAATGATAAGAATGGAGAAAATAATTGAGGAGGTGTGGCTAGAGCTATATGGAAAACTTTTAAAAGAAAAATTTCAGATGAAGTAGCGGGTCTGGCAAGTCATGGAAATAATATACTAAATTTTGCATACCTTATCCACAAAATTTCAACTGCTAAGGATACACATTTTGGATTAATTATAAAATAAGTTAGTTCTATAAGAGATCATGAACAAATACAAATAAGAAATTGGAAGTAGATCAAGAATTTTGCAAATGACTTCATAACTTTAGAATCTGTATCTAGAAACTGCTAACCAAATGAATTAGGAGGTAGGTTGTTTTTCAAAATTACCTAGGGAATTGGGAAAAGAAATTCATCAAGCATGAACTTCTCAAAATATAACGCCCCAATTTGATAATATTGGAGTTTGAATACATTCTTGCTTAAAAAACTAAAAGAAAAATGCACCTATATATTTATACAAAAAAAATACCCAGCATTGGTAGAGTTGACATTAAAAAGCATCTTGTATTAAACCCATAATAGAATAATAATGATGGTGAAAATGAATCTTTCCTATGTTCTTGAGGTGGTGAAGGATGCGCTAATGTGTTACCCTCATTCTTTAACTAGGAAGAAGCTAACAAATGATGAGCCATTGGTAGTTGAGAGTAGATTCAAATTCTTTACAAGATTAAAAGAAAAAAAAAGGTAAACGATTAATGTATCTGATCCTTCGATTGAACGTAAAGGGCCTATTGGCAAGGAATATTAATTTTGCAAAAATTCTGGTTCTTCAATTAGTGCTGAAGTAACTGATCCTTTGATTGAAGATGAGGGATTCCAAGTGGTGAAACTTGGGAAAATGGACAGAAAAAAGTGATAAACTCTTACAAGGTTATGCCCAACAGATTAAAAACAAAAAACTAGATGGTCACTAATTGAAGGGGAGTCACAAAACCAAGGATAAACCGGCACTCATTTTCGAAGCATTTTTTTGCAGCTCATCACACCCCAGATTGCCTTTATCTGTCCAATGGTCATAAGAATTGGCTGAAGTTCAACATGTGGACTTTCTACTACTTATTCATAAATATTGACAAGAATAAAAAAAAATTATTTCTAGCTATTAAAAAAACCAAAATAAAAAATCCAATCATATCAGAGTGAGTCAACCTAAAAACTCAAATTTAATCCATCTAATGAGGGAATTTATCTTTCTTCTGCTAAAAGCACAAATTTTATTATAATTATTATTTTATTTTTTAAGTTGACATACAAATCAAGTAGACTATCATGCCCGCTTTATATTGGGGATACTACTCTTGATGGCTTTGACGATTTGTCACGCTGAGTTCATCCTTCTGTTAGAAATTCTCAACGCATTTACTTAATTGGTCGGGTTTTCAAGTTTTCAACATTTAATTCCAACATTTTCATTGCTTCACAACGCTAGAACTTGCCGTAACCTTTCAGCAAGTTACGCAAAAAGGGCTCTGTGATTTTTCTCCCATACTCTCTTTGGTCTGCCTTTGATTTGCTTGCATCTCAACCAAATCAAAATGATGATAAGAAAAAGGTTGATAAAAAATGTAAACAAACATTTCACCTGCAAAAATACAGGATTTTGTTTTATTTCAGAGGATAATTAGTGCATACAAACTGACCTTAAAGCTCTAGGAGTGACAAGAGACTGATTGTTTTTTTACATCATCATCAGCCAATCATGTGTCTCTTTATTTTCTCTAGAATTTTTGAAATGAATTACAATGATCAAGCTTGGTTTCCATACCATTGCCACAAATACTTAGATTTCATAGAATTCTCAGGTGGAGGTCAGGATATCCTACTCTTTCTTTGTGTCTTTCAAAAAGATCTTTCATGGCTGAAATGAACTGCTCATGAACCTCATTTATCTGCAATAGATACAAACAAAATATACGATCATTCAAGTGAAATAGTTTAGCTATAGATAAATATGAATTACTACTGGATGAATACATTTTATAAAACTGCCTATTTTATATGAGCTGATAGTTGGACTATAAGTTATCGATAGCCAAGTTGACACGGTGAAGAATGCTAATGATAATTTAGAAAAACTACTAGTATATACTGAAGAATAATTATTCTAGAGAAGCAGTAAAATGATTAGGATAAGGTACACACAACAATAAGGCGCACATTGATGAAAAAATGATATTGGTGTTGAGAGACTAGAAATTGAATAATTCTAAAATAACATTGATAGAAGTTGTTTAAAAAACTAACTTAAAATAAGCTCAACATCTAAACAACACCCAATAGTCTCAAATAAAAATGAGAATTCACAAGATCAACATCAGGCACTTAGGAAAAGGCTAATGATGATGATTAGTAGACGAACAAAATTCTTTTAACTAAATTGTTCATTTGTATACATTCCATCCAATTCCTATATGCTTGCATATCTAACACCTAAGCTTTACCTTTTACATTTATATCACTCAAATCTTTCATATACAAGAAAGATAACATTATTTTAACTTTTAACAAGCAAAATGCATCTAGGTGTTAAATATGCAAAAACATAGGAAATTGACTGGTATGCATGTAAATCTTCCAAAAAAAGTAAAGCATGCATTACAAAAATTGAATGGGACTTTACCTCATCCTTGGAGGGCTGTGGAATTTTCTTGACCTCAATGGGCTTACCTACTACAACATGCATAGGTTGTCTAAAAGGTATTGGAGATCTACATTATGAACCAAAGCAAGTGGTAAAACTAATTAGTGCATTAAACAATAAGCCTAGCCCAGATACTTAAAAAAGTTTACAAAAAATGATGACAAGACATGTTTGAGATACCCAAATCTTCCCCAGAAAATAATAGGAGTGAACTTGATTGCCCGAGCAATCTGGATAAAGATTTTCCCACTTGGTTTCCACCATTTGTAGACATGAGACTGCACCAAATCAAACAAATCAATACAAAATAAATCCTCACGAATCAAAATTACAAGAGAATAGAGCAACTAATGAACAATTTGTTGTTTACATTGCAAACTTCAAAAAAAGTATCTTCCGCTAAGCAAAATAGGTTTTACCTGACCAAAGCAGAAAACAGGGACCAGGGGTCGCCCATTCTCCATTGCTATCCTTACAAATCCTTTCCTTGATTTAAGGAAAGCAACCTGATCATAAAGACCAAAACAGAACTCTGAGCATAATCTGATTATGTAAAAAAGGTTTCCCTTTAATATTGATATTGAATCCTAATCTTGGCTTTAGAAAACGTATTCCAAAGTAAAAGAAAATGAATAGTCAAACACAAAATAATTTGATAGAAAAATCAAACAGATTTTATGCCTGTGCCACAAGAATATTTCTTGTGCCTGCATATGTTAAAGTTCAGCATTTCACTTAGCTGATATGCATCAACACTTGGGCTATAGGCATCTGTTGACCTCATTTTGAGGTCATTACTCTTTTTCCTAAGGATCCTAAGATATAGCTCTAGGGGTTCCTATTGACTATCCTAGAAAACTAGTATCGGAATCCATCCCCTTAGAAATTCCAGCCACTTCCTATTTCTCTTGTGATGTCCCACATTGATGATCTCAAAACCATCGTCCTATAGTCGAGTGGTAAAGGACTATCATGTGGAGGATCAAGGAAAAATTCCCAATAGGATCTCAAGCCCTAAGAAAACTTCTTCAGGACTTTATCATCACACACGCACACCAAATGCAAAAAATTCACTAAGTTGAAAAATTCACTAAGTTGGCAAAAAATTCACTAAGTTGCACAAAATCGGACTTACATTGAGCTTAAATGATGGGTAAAAATGCTAACTTCTCCAGACGACCTCCGACGATAAAATGGACTGCGCCAACACGTTCGGGACACCAATTTTAGTTAGGAAAGACACCCATATTGAATTTTAGTAGGAAATGACACCCATATTGTAATAATTTCTGACACGAGAAAATTGCACGCAAATCAATGAATTCATCAAAACCACCACCGACGGTGAAACGGACCGCACCAGTGCGTCCGGAACGTCAAAATTACCTAAAAAAGACACTAATTTTTGTTATGTCTTGACGCACGAATAAAAAGTACGAATCAAATTTTTTTTTAAGAAATATTAAATATTTAATATACTTAAAATATTAAAATTATAATCCTAAACCCTATTTACCCTCTACCCGCACACTTAAACCCCCATTTGACCAGTCCCATGGCTCGATCCCGAGGTGCTCGTCCCGCTCCCCTCGCGTGCCCTAGCTCCCGTGGACGATCCACGCGTCAATCTCTTCCCCTTTTCTCGACTCTTCCTCTTCTTCGTGTGGCCGCTAGACTATTCAGCTCTCCAATTGCAAGGGCCGAGCTGACCGACCCTTCTCCTTCTCGAGGTTTTACCGTCTCTCTCTTTGTTGTGGCGATTATGTTCTCGTCGTTTGATTCGCCTACCAGTGAGGCTGGTAGGTGGCTGTCCCCCTCTCTTCTCTGCTTATAAAAAGGGTCTCTGGTGGACTGTTTTGGGTTGTTAAAAATTTCTTGAGAAAAATTTCTTGAGAGAAAAAATTTCTTGAGAGAAAGGGAGGCTGCGGTTTTACTGTTTGAGGTCTTCAGGGAAGAAAGCTCTGCCGAAATTCATTCTAGATTAAATTCTCGTGCGTTGGGAGTGTAGAGCATTCGTGGGTTGCTGTTTTCTGAAGCTTTTAGGAAGATAAGCTTTGCCAAAATCCTCTCTAAGTTAGAATCTCGTGCGTTGGGAGTGTGGAGCATTCGTGAGTTACTGTTTTCTGAAGCTTCTAGGAAGAGGATTACTGTGAGAGTGGTTTTCTTGAATCTGTCTTATAATTTTGCTTTAAGTCTGCATAAAAGAGGTATTCTCCTTCTTTCCTCTATTCTGCACTCTTTAGGATGACATTTAAAAATACTTCTTTTCTCTTCTAAAGCATGTGGAAATAAAGTTAAGCCCTGTTTTTGAGATTTAAGCATGGATACTTGCTAGAATCAATAGCAATGAAGCATAATATAGATATTTTTCTTTTTTTTTTCTGCTTAAAAATGCATGATGGATAAAATTTTGGAGCATCCAAATGGTTGCCGTGAGATGATAGCTGCCTATTTGGAATACATGTTAAATGAAATGTTGGTTCGAGATTTAATTCTTGAGCTTTTTATTATTATCACCCCTGTTCAAATACATGTTAGAAGTTGTTTCGATGCTTTGGGATGTTGGTTTTAAGAACCTACCTATGCTTCTTTGTTTCCTGTTGCCTGTCCCTGTTCGAAGTATATATATTGGATGCAAATTTTGGGATTTAATGTTTTGTGGAATCTGATTCTTAGTGACTCTGTTTTGGTCCATTTAGTGGGCTCGAATTTAACCTCCTTTGGATTAACTATTAGCTGGAAATTCTGCCTTGTTTTCCCCATATGGGTAGGTTCGATTTTCGCCCCTTGGAATTGGATTCTTGCTGGAAATATTTTCATTTGTTTTGCCCATATGTTGGGCTTAGTTGCCCATGTGTTGAGTTCGGTTTGGGCTTCTTTTGAATCAAATTATAAATGAAATTTTTCTCTGTTTTGACCTATTTGGAGGGCTCGATTTTGGCTCTGTTAGATTGGAATTATAGCGGAAAGGTATTTTTCTGTTTTGGCCCATTTGGTGGGCTCGGTTTTTGGTTTTTTTGAGATGAATGAATGTTGGAAACTATTCTCTGTTTTCCCACTTTTGTTGGGTTTGAATTTGATCTCTTTTGGAATGGAATCATGCTGAAAATACATTCTCTGTTCTCCCATTTGGTGGGACTCGATTTTGGCTCGGTTTGCCCATATGCTGAGTAAAGTCTTGGCTTAAACTGAATTCTTTTCTTTAGCCTTCATATTGGGTTTAGTTAGATTGGAGACAAGGAATTGGTTTGGTTCAAAAGCTCATCTCTCTTTTACTGGGTTTAGTTGGACTGAAACTATATTTTATTCCTTTTTTTGTCTTGCTGGGCTCGGGTATGCCTGTTGTGGTTCCCTGTTTTTGCTCTTCTTCCTGGGCTCAAGTTTACTGGCCACGGTTTTCCTGTTCTTCCCCTCTGTTGGGTTCGGTTAAGTTGAAAATTCTGGATATAATGTTCCCTTTTGAGATTTTTATTGGTAATCAAGTTTGTCATCCCAAAATTCATGATCTCAATATATATTTCTATATGGGAATGTTTGAAATAAGCTGATCAATTCATTACTATGTCTTACTTGATGAAAATGGCTTCGGTTTGGATAGTTTATGGCAGTTTGTCCATTCACTCTCTTATGTATATCAAAGGTAATACAATGGCAATACCTATGGTGGTTTCCTTTCTGCTACCTTGACCGTGAGTCTTACTTGGTGTTTGCTGCCTTTGTGGCCTTCTTCTTTGCCCCTACTCGCGAGCCTTATTGTTGTGATTTGTGTTGTGGTTGGCTGGGATTTAGTTTACTTCTCATTTTATCCTGGCTATGAGTTCTTCCTATGATTCTTTTATATTAAAGGTGGTTGGGTCAGGCTTAAATATGTGGTGGCTTTTCCTCTTGTTACCCTTACCCGTGAAATTAAATGTGATGGGTCTCCTTCCTGCTGTCTTGGCCGTGAGCCTTACTTGGTGTTTGTTGCCTTCGTGGCCTTTCTCTTGAAGCCCTTACCTGTGAGCCCTACTCTCTTTCCTGGCCTTACCCGTGAACCCTGCTCTCCTTCCTACTGTTATCCGTGAGCCTGTTGAGGATTGTTCAGTTTCATTTTGCCCCGACCATGAACGCTTCTATATAATCTAAATTGATGTTACATTTATATAGTTGTGGAAAGCTTTTAACAAATAGTGGAATTAAAAGATTTTGATATGGGCATGATTTCTGGAAGTTCAAAAAAGGTTTTGCCCTTGAATTATCTTTCTTTATCTAATTTGAGAAATATAAAAGGCTTGTATAATTTCATTTGAAGGAAACATAATGTTGATGCAAATTGAATCCATGAAAGGGTTTGAAAACTGATAAAATTGCTATTTGGAAATGATACCCTTCTTGGGTTGATCCAATTATAAAATTTGAGAAAATGATATCCTTCTTGGATTGATTCAAGGATCTTGGGCTCTCGTGTTTAGATCTTTTTGACACGATCTTAAGGATTGCTTCACCCGTTATTCTTTCGATACTTTGGGTGGATCAATTCCTTCTTTTTCTCATCCCCATTTTTATCCTTTTTTTTCTTGTTTCTTGGTTCGGTTTTCTGTGCTTATGTCTGATATATAAGTGCCCATATATAGCCTTTTGTTATATATGGAACCATCAAACAAGATCGCAAGTAGGTCGATATTGTTTTGGGGCTTAGGGCGATGATGACAAAGGCACGCCGGTGGTAGAGCAGAATAATATCTCATCCTACAACACCAAGACTCAATTCTCAGACCTGATGAATTGTAGGATGAAAGTATCATTCACCGACACAAGACTAGCGGGGACCCGTACCTTCTTAGGATTGTTGGCGCTTACGCCCGATGACGTGATCGACTCGTGGACAACTATTCGTTTTTCAAAATTGATAAAACAAATTGATAAGAACATATACAATATTTATAAAAAAATACTTTCACTATAAAATTAATATAACTTTTTTTTGTAAGTCAGAAATATATATACATGCTAAAATATGAATTTTAGAAGTGTCATAACTTGGTTGTCCACTTGTTGATTACCGATACCGGGCTAAGGAGTACCCTCCTAAGTTAAGTTCAGTAGGAAGTTCAGTTAGTGAAGTGGCGGGCTTTATACATCCGGGTGACCAATAGTAACTTTCGACGTCCCTCGGGTACAAATATATATATTTGAGCCTAGCTCCGACCCGAGTGCTTGCGGTCCCCCACTTTTTGGACTTTTTCATATATCACCTTTAGGCTTTTGCACAACCCTGTTGTGCAATTATAAGTCCTAACACTTAAAGATTCCGAGGTTACCGTACGGTACGGTGTAAATCCTCCTATCTTTTTAAGTCATTTGCACGATCGAATATCGTGCGAATATAAGTCCTAAATTCTAAATAAATTGCAGGATTAAACATTAAATAACATCATTTCAAAGATATAAACCCAAACAATAGGATAGTTGGGAGGTCACCAGAGTTCTCCCTGGATCTGTGATATCCCCTACTCTTCACTCCTTTGGACTTCTTAAAATGACTGTTCTTATTTGAGCCACTCCCGTTTGATTTTCTCGTGTCCAATCTTGGAAACTTAAACTTTAAAATCCAGAAGATAAAACCACTAATCTTAATCAAGAGTTTTTTTAAGTGACCCCAGTCATTTAAGATGTAATTAACTATAGGGGCTTGCCTCTATAGGGAACTTGAAACCCAGGTAAAATAAACCCTATCTAATTCTCATATTAGATAGGAGAACTTGTTGGCCTTATATAAAATATTTCGTAGACCAAACGGATGTCACAAATTCTTTAGTTTAGGTGATTGAGCCTACTACAAGTGATATGTTTATGCTTCGGGATAAATATATTACTTGTGGTATCGTGCTTAGTCATCCAAACTATCCAAAATATAAGACTCGCTTGTCTCATCTATTTTTAAATTAAAATGTTACTTTTAAAGATCATATTTACATCAAAACAATTTTCATATTTATAAAGCTTATCTCCCTTTTTCAAGATCATAAAGATAAAATTTAAAATAAAATGGCTGACAACATCATAAAGCTCACAAGAGTTTTCTTGATAGGATGGCTTTGATATCATCAAAAAGTTCAAATGATGTGGTTCTATTGAAATCTAAGTGAGAATGTAGAATCAAATACTCTCAAATAGTCATCGAAACATGATGTTTCTAATTTCATGCTAGGCTTTACAAGAATCTTAAATTTTCCATTTGTGACCTAATCAAATAGCACCGGCAACAGACACATGTAAGATTTCTATGAGAATCCTCAGATTATATTCTTCTCTTGTTTTACAAATGCTTCTTCCCGTTTTACTATACTTTTATTGGCATGAAATACATTATTTGTTTTTTTTTCCTTTTTTATTTCAATTCTAATGATCTAAAGTATTAATCGCAAATGCTAAATATTTTATGATGTAGCAAACATTTAGAAGTTATGTTCAACACTAACTTGGGATAAAAAAAGTTAGATCTGCAAAAAAAAAAAAATTTCTTCGATCCTTAAGTATGCCACGGTTTTAACAGAATTAAAATTAGCAAAATTCACTCAATCGTATGAAAGCAAGTGTTGGTTCAAGAACCTCCGCACTAGACTAGGGTTTTCATCGAGTAAAGAGGACCCTTTATAGAACAACAGAGTTTCTACTAAGTATTCACCTATCAAATGTTTCATTTTCAGCCATCACAAAAAGTAAATTCCATTTATACCGACACAAAAACCCAGTTGCGTGTGTCTCACAAAGCAGAAAGGTTTAATCCTTACCCGAAAAAATGGAAAGAATTAACATGCTTAAGAAAAATAATGTAAATGCCACCACCGAACAAGAATTCAAACCTCTGAATCGTAGTTCATGTGAATTATCTCCTGTACACCACCAGGCACAATGATGCAGCTGTAACCAGCTTCCAAGTACTGGTAAAAATGCCTTCTTGAGGCTGGAACTAGCCCCAGCCATGTCCATATCTGCCTAAGAAATGGTGTAAGGAAGACCTGCACACCGAGTATGTCGCTCAAACAACATAAAGGTAGAAACTTGAACTCCAAAACTCTGAGAATGAAAGTAAAAAATGTTCCAGGAAAGCTTACAGCACTGCTTGCAAGGACCTTAATCTTTGTTAGTGGCATGAAACCAGTAAGGTCAGCAAGAGCACAAACACCAATGGGCAAGACTGAATGTGGCTCATAACCAAATACTGCAATCAACAGATTCCTCCACATAACTCACAAATAGATAGTTCGGCTCTATTGGAAACGTAGCAAACTTTAATCATAATTTATCAAGTGAGATAAGCAGGGTATTCTTTTGGAGTATTCAAATTTTAAATTTCTTTTAAAAATTAGTACATTAGTTTATAATCCTAGTCCCATACAAGGGGCTGCATTTATATCAAATGCAAGTAAAAAACGAAGAAAAATAAAAGAAAATGATCTCCTCTTATTCGTATGTGTGTGCATGTGCCAAAAGAAAAAGAGAGTAAGCTAACAAAGAAGCTTGGGATACCCTAAGCACCATATTTAAGCGTGTTGGCTTGGTGAAGGAAGTTTACCTCAAAAGGTTTGAGCCAAGTTTGCAGGAGCTCACATGAAAGATGGTGCAATTGTCTTGAATTGATTTTCCTAGTTGTTATACAAATAATAAGAAAAGAAATGCTGAAACTTATTGAAGATGTGCGAGTAATGGGAAAAATGTATTGGTCAATTAATACTGAAGTACAAGCATGTCATGGCTGCAACCATAGATTATAAAGCCATGGAATCTGAATGACCAACCATCAAGTTGGTGTAACAAACCGAACCTATTCAGCCTTTAACTGAACTGGCACAATCCCATGACCAATCGACCCCTAATCACAAGAAATAACCCAAATCATTACCATCGCTTTATCCCCTTGCAATTACATGATTTTTCCCAAGAATTGCCCAAGCTGCCCGTTCTATTTCCTACTACTTTTTTCACTTGTTCGCTCCTTTTAAGGACGAGCAAAGTTGGGGCTTCATAGTTCATCACCAAGTTTTGTTGTTGACCTCTTGTCAACGGAGAACCACCTTCGCCTCTTTTTTCACTCAACATCAGCATTTAAATGTCCTTAGCAGTCAAGTCCTTCCCCCAAACCCTACGAGACAATGATACTATATTCATTTCTCTCCTTCCACTTTCTGCTTTTTTTCCTTTTCATTGCAATTTCATCAATTCATCATCTCCATGCTTGTTAGATGAATTTAACTTTTTCTGTATATTTAGATTTGGACATGCATTCTCCGGTTAGTTTAATCTTTATGTTAGACTAATTAGTTCATTTTATTTAATAGTTGGTTCGGATAGGTTGAGTTGGTTTACTTTAATTTTAGTTAGTAGTAGGTATTTTATATATTTAGTTATATATATATAGGGAGAGAGAGAGAGAGAGAGATCCACACCCCATAGGATTACACTTTGTTTAGTCATTCTAATGATAAAATTATAGGGCTACATTCCAGATTTGAAGAACGCATATTATTATTAAATAATTATTAATCTTAATTAATTTATGCGATAACTAAGGTCAAAGAAGATGACACCTATTTTAACAACTATTAATTTTGTTAAGCCTTTATTAAATGTTTTGGGATTAATAGACAGCTTGTGCTATGTAGGATCTTCAACTGATGTTGGAGTTCCATAAAACAACCACAACGTAAGTAACTATTAGTTATTAAGGGAAAAAGGACATTATACTTGTTATTTGTATTATGTTACTAGCTATTTTGTAGGCGATTTGGATGAGAAGATATTTTTATTTATTTATTGTGATTTGGATGAAAAGATTCATATATAATAACCATAAAAGTTTAAGGTTGAAGGAAAAAAAGACCAAGTGTGTCTACTTAAAAATCTTTATATGCCTTCAAGCAATCTCCAAACTTCTTGTTCATTAACTTCGATAGTTGTATGTTTATTCATGAGACATAAAAAAGCCCATTTAATAGTTGTGTTTGACAAGCAACTACAGATATAGTTTTAGTATATATGCTCCTGTATGTTGATGATATATCGACTTACACTGGAATAAGTGAAAAATCATAAATCCAAAAATCGAAGAGTAATTTGAGTGCAAAAATTAAAATGAAAGACTTTAGTCTTGTTAAGAAGATGGAAATGAAGACTACAAAAAAAAAGGTTACTTTATTTCTAACACGATAAAGCTGTATCAAGAATGTGTTGAAAGGATTTGGCTTGCAGATTGCTAAGCCTGCACATTCCCAACTTGCTAGGATTTTTTTTTGTGTGTGTGTGTGTTTGTGTGTGACCAACTTCATCTTAAGTAGCCAGAAGAGGAGAAAGAAAAAAGTGTCTTATGCTAGTGTAGTTGGAAGCATTATGTAAGTGATGGTATGCAGACATTTCAATATTTCACATAACCATGCTCTTTTTATTATTATAGTTATTACTTTTTTTTTTGTCAACAGCTTCTCCCAAGAACAGAGTATAATCAAATACAGGGATAGGCCTAATCAAGCTCATTAGCTAAAATAAAATTTGAGATGTCTCAGATACCCTATATGTTATGATTTGATGCATATAAAGGAAAATATGATTGCAATGATGTGGGATTTCCCAATTCAGATTAAGTTGATAATTTTGATAGTAGGGCCTCAGATTTATTGATTCCTTGATTCATCTAGGGTAGTCATTAGTTGAAATATTTGTCTTAGCCTATATTTATGTTGCAGCAATAGAGGTAAAGCATATAGTAATTTTTAAAGCTATCCAATAAGTTATTTAATTGAAAGAATTGGTTCAGGATAACTCACCAATAACTCATCAAAATAACTCACCAATTCTCACTGATAGCCAATACTTAAAATTTGCATTGGGAATGCTCAGCAATTTTTTGAGACGGTTAACAGCTGGATTTGCATTAAGATAGCTTAGCATTTTTCTATAGTGGTCAGTGCTCTTCACTTAGCAAGAGATCAGATGCAACATGAAAAAACCAATAATATCAATGTATTGTACAATTCCATTATAAATAAGGATGAAGATTGTGATATCAAGATCTAAACAAAGCACAATCATGTTGATATTATTATCAAGATGATTCTTGTTCTTAAGTTCAGGAAGATTTGATACAAAAAGGAAAAATTGCAATAGTTATATTAGATAGGCTACAGGGTAAATACTGTAAGTACCCACCTAAAATCCCAAGCATTGTCCATATGCTATCGAAAAAAAAACCGAATGCCAAAAAGGATCAGACCAAGTGACTCACCAACATTATAAAAATATAGAGATTACAAACAAGATAGGTATAGGATCTCATAATAAAAGGGCTACTAAAAAACCATAAATATTCCATCCAAACATGTAAGGTGCAAAAATTGTGGACCTATAGGATCACTATATATGTTATAGTCATTCTTAGAGATCCGTTGAGAGAAATTTCATTTTCCTCTTACAGCCTTCTTTTGAGAAATGTTATTTTAAATTTGGAGATATCTTTACATCGACTTGTTATTGTCATAATATTACAGAAAGTAATAAATCTGAACCTTGTAATATTAAAAATTGGATATTAGACAACCTAATTAGAAGAGATATATTTACAAGATCTTTTCTATATTAGAGTTATTCCTAATCTAGAGAGTTGGAAGTGTGTATAAATATGCAATAGATGTTTTCAATTATGAATAAGAAAAGCGAAAACTTTCTCGTTACGTGGTATCAAAGCATCGTTGATTTGTTTCGTCTATGTATGTTTTGTTTGGCATCGTCTGTGTAGATCAAACAAATCGACGTCTTCAACTTAGTTGTCAGCATATCTAGAGACCTTCGGCTTTGTCATTTGTATCACTCGACGGCATCATCTCCATCTTTGGCTTCGTTCGAAAGCTTCATCAACTTTGATGAAGTATGCAAGCCTTCGAACGGTGTTGTAACCTTCTTCCTACATCATTTGTGTCGATCAAATGAATCGGCGTCTTCGGCTTCGTCGTTTGCATCCCGAGACATCTTCGACGTTGACATCACCATCTTCAATTTCATCTTTGATTCCATTCAAAGGCTTCGTTGGCTTCGTTAGTTTCATCAGTTTAGGTCGTCGATTTTAACGACTTCTTCCGCTTTAGTTGCTATGTTTGTCTTCGCGCTCGTCAAGACAGTTGTCTAGTAAAGCTCGATATCATTCTTCTTGAGAGCTCATCTCACCCTTCAGCTCATCCATATTGCTGCATTGTGGAAACCACCAGTGGGAATAGGTGATTCAATCTCCTAGAATATACAGTGATAATTATGGTTGTGGATCAAAAATATATTATGACAAGTTTGGTTTTATCGGTGGCTAAAATTACATATTAAAAGTTAAATGTCGTCAATAATTTTTATTAAAGTAAAACTGTGAGAATCTATTTAAGGAGTATATCTCAAGAAAGCCATCTCGTTGATAATCCTCCAGTTGATACTGATTTGAATTAAACTAAGTGGATGAGAATTGATGTCCACCTTTTCATACAAATATGGAACTCTATAGAAACCCAATCAATCTGATCATTTTACTCATTGTGATCGTGTTAAAGATACGATGAAGGAATTGACGTTTGTGTTTTCTGAGAGATAAAATACTTCTCGAATCTTTAATGTATACAAGGAGTTATGTCGAGCTAAACAATAGGATCAGTCACTTAACACATATCACATACACTTTTAAACGTATTTATGAATAATTGAATGCACTATTGTCCTTCAGAATTGATGTCCAAATTCGGCAAGTTTAAAGAAAACAAATAGTTATTATGAATTATCTAGTTGGCCTCAACTCTCCATCACTATCAATGTGAAAAAAAGATACACTCAATTTCAACTACTACATTTTTAAATTGTGAGTAATGTTAATTTGCTAAACACCATCATTTCTATTATGTTCTCAAAGTTAATAAAATAGTATGTCATAGTTTTGAGTTGATTCATTCTGATGATCGCGGATCTTATGCTATTTTATTTAATGGATTTCAATATTTTGTCATTTTTGTGGAATATTTGTTTCGTACAACTTGGATTATCTTTATGAAATCCCATAATGAGTTACTGTCATAATTTTAATATTTTTGTGCCGAAAATAGAATTTAATTTAATATTTTGGTTAAGATTCAAAGAAATGACAATGTCAAAGAATATTTTATGCACCATTTCAGACGTACATGACACAAAACAAGATGTTTCATCAATCATCCTGTGTCGAGACTCCATCTTAAAATGGAGTAGCTGAAAGAAAAACTAGACATTTTCTTGAGACAGTTGGAGCTCTTTTGTTTCAAATGAATGTGCCTAAACAATTCTGCGTTGATGTAGTTTCGACTGCATGTTTTTTGATTAATTGGATGCCTTCTACTATTCTACAAAACCAGACACCCTACCAATTTTTATTTCCAATTCACTCTCTTTCCTATTGAACCACACATAATCGCGTGTACCAGTTTTGTTCGTGATGCTTGTCCACAAGTTTCTAAATTGGACCCTAAGTCATTATGGTGTCTTTCTAGGATATTTTTGTTTTCCAAAAAGGTATTGATGTTTTTCCCCTCTCTTAAACAGGTACATGATTTCTGCTAAAGTCACCTTTCATGAACAAACAACATTCTTTGGTGGCTCATCAATGCATAAAACATCACAAGATTCTAACGAGTTATTAATGTATCACACCATAAATTTAGATCTTGCTCTAGCTCCACCACCAGTTCCTCAGCCTAGACTACCTATATCACTAATGTATACTCGAAAAGACCCTCTCCTTCAAATCATAATTTAATAATATCTTCCTTAATGGATCCTCCTCCCAGTGAAATTGATTTACCTATTGTTCTTAAGAGGTAAACATCAATGTGTCTATCCCATTTTCTCGTGTTAAACATAATCAGTTATCTTTCACATCTTGCTCGTTTGTTGCTTCTCTTGGCTCTGTTGAGATTTCAAGATGTATTCCACAAGCCTTACCACATTATAGGTGGCATGCAACTATGCTTGATGATATGAATGCCTAAGTAAAAATGAAAATAGGGAACTAGTTGAACTACCTTATGACAAGAAGGTTTTTGGTTGTAAGTGAGTCTTTGCAATTATCATTCTGATGAATCTGTAACTCATTTGAAAGCTCAATTGGTTATTAAGGTCTATGCATGAACTTAAGCAATCAAATACTAGGACAAATTATATTCGGTAGCTAAGTTGACTTCAATTCAACTATTTATATCCTTGGCCGCAAAGAATAATTCTCTTGCACCAACTAGAAGTGAAGAGTACTTTTTTGCATGATGAAATTTTAAGAGAAGTATACATGGAGTAACCTCTTGGGATTGTTGTTCAGTGATAGTCTAAAATATAGATTGCTTTTGGAAGTCCATATATGGATTAAAACAAAGCCCTCGAGCATGATTTAAAAAATTTAGTCAAACCATAAAAGAGTTTGGGATGCAGAAAAATAAAAGTGATCACACAATATTCTATAAGCAATCTACTTCGTGTGCAGGAAATCTCATAATTGAAATCATTCTTTTAAAATCAATTCAACACTAAAGATCTGGGTTCCTTAAATTACTTTTTGGGGATTGAGGTATCAAGGAGCAAGAATGGTATCTTTCTATCTCAACGAAAGTATGTGTTGCATTTGTTAGCAGAACTGAAAAATTAGGACTCAAACTATGCAATATTTTGATGCTTCCTAATCAGCAACTTATCAAGAATGGAGAGTCTTTTAATGGACCTGAACGATATAGGAAGTTAGTTAAGAAATTAAACTATGTCATAGTAACTTGTCTTGACATTGTGTATTCAATTAGCACTATGAGTCAGTTTATGTTCCCCCACAGTCCATCATTCGTCAAATTTAGAACAAACACTATGTTACCTCAAAGAAGCTCCTAGACAAGGTATTTTATCTCAGTACCATGGTCATAGAAATATTGAATATTACTCGGATACAGATCGATAAATTTATAAGATTGATCAAAGATCTATTACTGGATATTGCGTCTTTATTTGTGGTAATTTGGTCTCATGGAAGAGTACGAAACAGAATGCAGTGTCATAGTTCAGCGTTGAATCTAAGTATTGAGCAATGACACAAACTTTGAATGAAATGATGTGGGTCTCCCAACTCTTGACTGAAATAATTTTTAAGATGGTTGTTCAAGCAAAGTTGTGGTTTGATAACCATGTTGCAATTCATATTACCTCAAACTGTCTTTCATGGCAAACCAAGAAAGATAAGATAGATTGTTATTTTGTTCGCGAAAAGATTCAACAAAATTTAGTTTCTATAGGTCATGTTAAGACTAGAGGAATAACTAGGCGATATCTTCACAAAGGCCTTTAATAGAACTAGGGTCACTTGTATTTGTAACAAGCTAGGCATGATAAATATCTATGCTCTAGGTTGAGGAGGACTATTATGGAAAGTAATAAATATGAAACTTGTCCTTTAGGAAGCTTGTATATTAAAAAAATTTGATATTAGACAATCTAATTAGAGAAGATCAAATTACATGATATTTTTTTTTATGTTATTCCTAATCTAGAGATTTGGGAGTATATATAAGTATGTAATATATATTTTAAAAATTGAACATGAAAAGAGGTAGCTTTCACGTTATAGATACAATAATATTTATTATTATCTACTTCTCTTCTTATTATGTGCTCCTCCATACATTTGATAGTGGATTTATATGTGCCTCCTCATCCTATGGATATGGGTCATTCTTAACCAAATCAAATAAATTCTAGTTTAATTATCCATGTGTGGTTGTGCTTTTAAATCCAATATTGCATGTGTGCGTATTGCTTTGCTTCTTTTGTTTTCTAGGTTAATCATGTTACTCTTTTGACATTGACGAAAAGAATTAATTAGGGCATTTTAATTGCAACAAAAAAGTTCATTGCATTTCAAACATATAAAACATTAAAAGTCACATAGATATGCAAACTAAGTGCAAGATTAAAGCACTCATATTAGATATACATTTAAAGGACGTAGGCCTCAAAAATATTTCAAATATTTTTAATAAGCATTGTGACACTCAATAATAACTTATAGTTTCAATTACTCTACTACAAAATGGTATTACAAAAAAGAAAAACCATGCCATCTTTGAAATGCTAAATATGCTAAGATGAAAGGAGTATCAAAGATCCTTGGGTTGAGTCATTGCATGCTCAACTTGTTTTCTTGAAGCTACACTTTCAAATAGTGTGAAGGACATGATGCTAAAAGAAGCTTGGAGTGGCTAGAAATCTAAAAGAGCACATTTGCGAACTTTTGGGTGTGTTACCTATAAATGGTTACCATACACAATAAAAAGAAAGTTTGATAATTTTAGCATTAAGTGTGCTTTATAAGGTACAATGAACAAGTAAAGGCAAGCAAACTTTATAATCAACTAACAAAAAAGAAGTTGAATAATGGAGATGTGTATGAAGATACTCAAGGAAAAAGAACTTTAATAGGAGAACCAAAGTAAAGCTAGCTATTATAGAATGAAGCAAGACAACTACTAAAGGAAATTACTAAACAGAAATAGCATACACCAACAACGTCGCCAAGAGAAATCCATAAAAGTGGCTCAATTTAAAACCCAAACCAAATTTAACACAACATTGTCCTAAACTCCATAAAGAACGACATGCTTAGCAGAAATATATGGACATACAAGAAGAACAAAACATACTTTTCTTAATTGCTGGCTGTGAGCCTCTTAAATGTGATGATGCAATGAATGATCAAAATTGGAGAACAGGATAGAAGAAGAGATAAGGTTAAATACAAGAAAGTGAGGCATGAGAGTTAAGTGAACTTCTACCCAAACAGGATAATATTAGAGTGCACGCAGTCAGTGTGTAAAACCAAGAGAGGTGTTCATAAGATAATCAGCCTCTACAAGGTGAGACTAATAAGTAGCTAACATGATGAAATAGTTAAATTCACTAGCAACACAATGAAGGTGGACTTAATGACAACTTGATAAATTGATATAAAATCAAGATTTCTAAATGAAGCTCAGGAGAAGGATTCCAAAGGCTTCGTTGCCAAAGGCCATGAAGACATGGCATACAGGCTGAAGAAATCCCTATAAAAAAAAAACATCAAGGCTTCACAATGCTCATATTGATGACTAATTGGATAAGAATGTGTTCATAAAATGTCCATAAAACAGAAACAGTACATTAAGGCCAACACAATGAAGTTCTGATTGTTCTCCTATATATTAATGGCACATTCTTCGTAAGAGGTTTAAAGATGTTTAAAGAATTATTTAAACGATATAATATTTTTAATAATAATGAAAGTGATAAGGAGGATCAATAACAGTCATTCCAATGTTTGGGTACTATTAGATAGGATTTAAGCTTGATCTACGCTATTCCAATGGTCAATTAGACTAAATTATCAATGTTTGACTAATTCAAACCCATTGGAATATCACTCTTTATTGCATTTTTTATTCAAACTGGTTCAACCACTTAAGGTTTTTTCGGTTCTGTTCACCAGCCAATTTTTATGGGTTGATCTCAAATTCTTGTAAATCTAGTTTTATGTCAAACCTGATCAACTTAAATAAATATTCACAATTCAACTGCCCGACCCATCTGATTTTCACAACACAGGTCATAATATCTCCTCTCCCTCTTCTCTTCTATTTCTAATTGAATGTGGTGTAAGCGGCCGAAAAAAAAGGGAGAACAAGATGTTAAAAGATATGAGGAGACTTTAGAGTGACTATCCTTTCCCTTTTTGAGTCAACAAATGAGCAAAGATTGCCCTATCTCGTAGCAAAAATGAATCTCATCAAGCATCCGAGCAACTCACCGTAAGCCTGATTTGAATCAAAAGCCTGCATGTCCTCTACATGCAGAGTCAACGGGAAATACCCAACCGCATACTTGCAGATAAATCTGTAACCATCCGAAACCAAAATCATCCAACAATTCAACTTATAAACAAAATCTCGAATCAATACAAAAGAATTAACATAAATAGAACCTTGCTAGCTTCCGCCCTAACTTGTTCTTGTCATTTAGGGGAATCACCATGAAGAACAGCTGCAGCGCGAAGACTCTAGAAAGGTAGAAGTAGATAAAGCAAAAAAATAACGTGACCAACAGAAATAGAGGAAATCAAGACGAAACAAAAAAGGACGAGTGGACAGACAAGGCGGCGATGCGTGCCGGGAGGAGAAGGAGAGAGGCGAAGACGAGGACGACATTTAAGTGGATGGCGCCGAGCCAGAGACTGAGGGCTATTGTTGTGCGGAAGAGAGAGTAGTCAGTTCCCTGAAAGTTCGCCGGAGAGGCGAAGGACGGAGGTTGATCGTCGCCGGTGGTTCCGCCCATTAGAGAAGGATCGCACAGAGTACTGCCAATTGATGAGCGGCAGCTTCTAGACGGAGCGGGACCGAGGGCTCGACTATTTAAATAGGAAGAAGACCACGTGCAAATTTTGAATGCTGTATATTTTAGATTTAGATATTATGAATAAGCGACATTTACATACATACCACCTAATCCTTATTCTTATGTATTATATATTAACATCTAAATTTAATTAGTACATTTATACCAAATAAATCTGTCATAATTCATTAAACTATCACCAATAGGGCTGTAAAAAAAAACTCGTTGTTTGCGAACAATTCTTGTTCGGTTCGTCAATGAGTTCGTGCTCGATTCGTTTGATAGTAAACGAGATAAACGAGACGAACGTGAATAAATTTTTTTCGTTCGGTTAGTTAAACGAACTAAACACGAATATTGACGCGTTCATTCTGTTCGAATCTTTATTGTTCGAAATATAAGATAATTTAAACTAATTATATATATAAATTTATGATATTTAAAAAAATTAAATTTTATAAATTATATAATATATAATAAATTAATAATAATAATATATTAATATATTATGTTAGTAATATGCTAATATATATATTATATATTTATATAATATAAGTTATATAATTAATATATTATATTATTTATATATATATTAATATTAAGGATGTTAAATTGGCTAGCCAACTGGCTCCTCATTCTCGAACAGCTCGTGTTTGACTCGTGTTCGGCTAGTTCATTAAGAAACGAACACGAACAATGACTTCACGAACAATTTCGAACACGAGTTTATTTCAAACAAACTAAATTTTAAACGAACCGAACACGAACACAAGCTCTGTTTGTTTGTGTTCGGTTCGTTTACACCCCTAACTACCAATTTAATTTTTAAGAGATTAAACAGGCGTTTTCATTCATACGAAAAGTGGCTTGCATGTGTGAATTAAAATTTAAGTTTTAAATACATGAATACTAGTATATATATATATATATATATATATATAATTTAGGTTGTTTTTTAATAATGATAAAAATAAAAAAATAATAAGGATAATAATTAATTGCTTATTATAGAGAGAATACAATTATATAAATAATGATAAGTCAAAACTAATTTAAAGTGACAGATCTACGTGTATCTATTACTGGAATCCCTTAGATAAAAAGGCTAAAGGGATTGTTAAGATCCCTAAAACAAAAAATGAATAGATTATTGGTGAGACGTGATCCACCGACTAAAAAACAAAATTTTATTCCCTGGAACGAGGAGCATGTGTTCCTGTTAAACAATCAAACAAAACAAAATTTTAATTAACCTCAAATTGTTCTTCAAAAATTGATTGGGTTAATCTTGAGTCTATTAGATTTTGAATTTAACTCATTGAAAATCATATATTTCTTTTTTAAAATTAAAATAGCAAAATGCTAATGATATGATTTCAATGAGTCAATGTTCATACTGAAATATTGGTGGCAATTGAGAAAGTTTGTTATGATGGTTTTATATAGGTCCAACACACAAATAAAATGATGTTATAAGTTGTTCTTTGACTTAGATGGAGGATATGATATTACAAAGTTGGGAACACTGATTTACTTTCATAAGGTTATAATGAAGATTGATGTAAAGCTAGTGAAGAGCCATAGAAGGTGAAAATTGAGGGTTTAATGACAATGGCAAAGGTAATTATGTAATAATGGTTAGATGATATTTGTCGGTCACTCGTCTATCAACAAATTTTCATCATTTGGTATGAATCTCGAGGATATGCGCGAATCTCAAGTCAATTTTTTTTAGCAAGAAATATTCAAACTTTTATTAAAAAACTTCCAAAACTTGAATTTCAACAAACTATAGTCAAACTAAGCGACTTGACAGACGAGCACAATGACACCAATTTTAGTATTATCTGAGCAAACCAAGCTTAGATTGAACCATTAAGTAATTTTTAGAAGCTTCTAGTACCTAATTGAATGGTCAAATGGATTTCAAATCTGATAGAGCTTGTATTTGAATTAAACATCGCGATGAGACAAATCCAACCAACCTAAGATCACTCAATTTCAACACCGTTGAAACATATAAATGTCCATCAAACACCAAGCTGGGTCTGTCTAATGGAGTTGTTTGGATTCTTTCCTTCCTTATTTTCAGAGAAGCTCTAACTCGTTCATGAAAGGAAGAGCTAGACCTTGAGGAAGCCTAGGACTTGAAGGAGAAGGAGTTGAGGTTCAGTGTTCTACATCAAAGGCCCAATGAACACACCGCTTCTGCAACCGCCAACCATCGTCAACCATCGCTCGTCGGTCATTGTCGGGTGGCCCTTGCTCATTACAATAAAGCCCCTTACAGAATCATGACGTGTGTTGCGAAGTTTCGGCTTGCACTATAGAGTAACAAAGCACCGTGCAGAGTAAAGACCAACTTTGCTGACTTACAAAGCATCTTATGGAGCAAAATATCTCGAAGAAGATGTAACCATGTTCTTCGAAGGTAGTATAACAATACTTAAAAGATAAAGCAATTGGCATCCTGCATACATTGTAACAACGCATCTCAAAAAGAGTGTAACGACACACCTAAAAAACGGCGTAACTACGCATCCCAAATACGGTGAAATGATGCACCACACATATGGAGCAATGACGCACCCTGCATATGGTTTAACAAGACACCTCGCAAAAAATGCTTAAAATCATTGTATTGGGAAATAGTAACTTCTTTCGAACACTTAAAGCTCTTTCCTTGGAACCCACCACTATGACTTATATGATCAACTACGCCTTAAGTAGTAAATAACTCTTGCAGCTCCTAAGTTCGGCCTCTATAACAAAGGAATATTATCACAACTCTTGCAGCTCCCAACTCCGGCTCATATGATCTATGAACATTATCATAGCTTTTGAAGGTACCAACTCTTGCCTTTGTGGCCTACAAAAGTTATTACAGCTCATGCAGCTCCTAACTTGGACCTCTATGGCTTGTAAACATTATCAAAACTAATCTAGCTCCCAAGTCTGGCATCTGTGGCCTACCAACGTTATCAAAGCTCATACAACTTCCAACTCAGGCCCTTGTAGTCTAAATATGTTATCACAACTCGTAAAGTTCCCAACTTTCGTCTTTATGACCTACAAACATTATCATAGCTCATGCATCTGCTAACTTTGGCCTCAACAACCTATGAACGTTGTAACAACTCCTGCAACTCTCTAATAAGGCCTTTGTGGCCAATGACATTCTTAAGAAGAAATTTATGACTTGCATGACCAACTACTGTCATGACTTTCAATTATTGCCTTTATAATAAGCTAGTGCTTCAACCACCATCTATAGCATTCATGGTGGACTATTGCATCCCTCACAATTGATTATAACCTTTGCTACACGTTTTGACTATTGTTTTTTGAACAATCATTACATATCAACTTTGTAATTTCATCTTCTCTAACTCAAAAAAAAAGTGGCCTTCTATACTCTCCATTTTATAGTAAATTATTTTAAGTGAGCACCATGTAAAAAATTTTAGTGACTCTACCTGTGACTTTTATTATCTAAGTGTGTGTTGGATTTTTGTGCAACACTAAGATGTTAAATAATCAATATACCATCTAGAATCTTTTGACACACATCATTCACAATAATTGTTGTTAAAATGTTGTTTATTATAATGGGGCAAGATTCTTCAAGTCTTTAATTTCTATCATAATTGAGCTCATGGTATCTTTCATGTAGAGAGTGAGAGTTTATTTATATTTTTTTAGAAAATTGAGAATTTAAGCCAAAATCAGAAAGCATTAAATTAAGTGATACAATCAATTTTTTTATCATAATCTTTTGGTAATTAAGCAGCTTAATTTTATTTGAGTCGAGTGATAAGCAGCTTAAATGCAGCGATAATATATATATATATATA